GAGCGGCTTGAGGCTGGACAGCTGGGACATCAGTGAGATCAACGTGACAGGGGCCTTGCAGCCCGGTCAGCTCTCCCGAGCACGTGCCGTCCCTGAGCCACGTTCCTATCCATCTTGCATGTCCCTGCTGCCCGGGCTCAGGGATATATTTGGGTCTGGACATTCTCAAAGATGCCGTGTCAGAGGCAGGACAGCGGGGGCCCCACGGCCGGGCTGACGTCACTGTGGACTCGCTGACAAGCCCTATCACCTCTGCTGGAGCCTCACAGCTGGGCTGACGTCAGTGCAGACTTGCTGACAAGCCCTATTGCGGTGGGAAGATCGCTCACTCTGCCAGTCACTGTCCTGGCTTGTAAACTGTGGAAAAGGATGCTTTTTCTCAGAGAAGTGCAGGGCCCTTTCGGCCAAAGAGCCTGTCCTTGCTCGCCTGGCGTGGTTAGCGTCGACCAAGCGTCAGCTCCTTTCTGGCTGAGACTGGCCATGCCCTGGCAGCAGGCCTGGAATGTCCCTCAAGCACCACCCTCCCCCCGCCACCCTCCCCCCACACTTCTTCCCGCCACAGGCACCCTTTAGACATCCGTCACCAGCACCCACTGTGAGTGCTGCTCAGGTCGGGGAGAAACAAAGGGGGTCACAGTCCACATCACAGCTAGCTGTCTGCAAGGAAGGTGATGGTGTCCACCAACCACAGAGCCTGTAACAAACCTCCTGGCTGTTCTTTCCCAAAGGTGGTCAGGACCCTCAACTTGAAGTTGCTGCTGCCATAACCGAGCTTAAGGCCCCAAGTTGTAGCACATTTTCACCTGGGGCCACCGCGTGCTGGACACCGACCTTCTTTCCCTCGATACCTTCCCTGACTTCACCTGCCTAGGTGTCCGCTGAGCACAGAACCTGGTTTTATTTACCTATTCTAGTACGCTCTCTCTATACACCAGACACACACGCACACACACGCATACATGCACACAAACACTAGCACACACGCGCGCATGCACACACACAAACACATACACACACACGTACATACACACACACACACGGAAGGACTGTGTCTACCCTTCTGACACCGAGAGTGAGGTCGTCTCTTGAGGCCACAGAGAGGCCAGAGCTACAGACATGGACTACATGTGCCCTGGCTCGTATTTAGATCATGGCAAACTCTGGGCATCCAGGCTGGAGAGTGAGGACACAAAGACATGGGGGGAGTGAGGGCAGGGGGCAGGGGAGAGTGAGGGCAGGGGACAAGGGAACATGCGGGTGCGAAGGCTTTCTCATCGGCTGAAGGGCCTGGCTGGCGTCGGAAGCATCTGCAGGGTCTTTGAAGGGATCAGGGAGTAAAGAGAGCTGGCGAGGGCAGGAGCTTATCTCCCAGATGACCCTGTTGGGGGCTGGTGGGGACACAGAGGGGAGAGCCACAGCTGACCCTAATAGCTGAAGGTCCGTTCCTCGTGCCATGGACAGGGGCTAGGAGAGAAGCGGTGGGAGCTGTGGGCCCCAGGGCCCTTGCAGGTGCAGGGCAGAACTGAGGGAAGGAGCCTATGCTCCGCAGGCAGCTCAGCTCAGGGACTGGGCATCAGAGCGAGGGCAAGAGCCTATCTGCTGGCAAGGGACAAGAAGCAGGGTGGGAGGAAGGTTCTGGAAGATGCCCACTCCAGCACAGGGGTTTCCCAAAGCCCATGAAGTGGGCAGCAACCCTGCGGGAGCCTCTTTCCAAACCCACGGAGGTTCTTGGGCTGGATGTGTGGAGGTTCTCCAGGCCGGACGTGGAGCATGGGGTCCAGAGCCCGACAGGCACCCCTGGGAACATGGACCGCTCTGAGCCAGAGGTAGCTGGGCTGGGTTTGAACCCCTCCAGACCCCAGGGAACAGTCTTGCAGGTCAGTGCGCCATCAGCCCTGAACCCAGCACGGGCCTGGGGTCCAGCTCCGTGTCCTCAACGAGATCACCGCCACTGTTTCTCAGTCCCAGTTTGCTCCTCCGTGAAACAGGGCCACGGGCCCCCTCACGGGGCTTTCAAGGGGATTCTGTTACCAAACGTGCTTCTAAGGCTCTGCCCCAAGATCTCAAAAAGAGCTGAAGCTGACGAGGGGACCCAGGTCCACACTTGACTCCTGGACCCAGTGCTCCCTCTTCTGTGTGCCCCGAACGTGGAGGGGGGCCGAGCCCCTTTCTCTAGATACCACGACTGCTCGACTCCCGTGTCGAGGAGCACTGAGAACTGAGCGGGCCTCTCATCTCTGGGGAAAGTGGCAATGGGGCTCAGAGAAAGCCAAGAAAAGCCTGGAGTGGGGAGACTCCCTCTTGTCCCCGACGGACTGTGTGTCCTCTGCAAGAGGGCTCGATGTGGGTGGGCGGCATCTGGGAGCGCCTGAGCCTCCTTCCCAGCTGTGGCACCAAAAATGTCTCCAGGTAACGCCAAAATCTCCGGGAAGGAAGTGGCCCCCTTCACCCTGCCCCAGCCGATACCAGTTTGGGAAACAGGACATTCGAGGTGCAACTTCTGCAATGTATCCAGCAGTCGGCCAGACAGAAGAAGAGGGAGGGGGGAAGAGAGGGCAGGAGAATGAGCAGGAGGACCACCGGGCAGAGGTGAGAGAATCGGGCCTGGTCCGAGACTCGGGGTGCTCAGAACAAGCCCCCAAGAGAGGAGCTGCATGTGAGGAGAGGAAAAGGCCCAGACTCAGCATTTCAGACGTGGGGTTTGCGCAGATACATACATCAGGGAGCAAGCGGAAGCTGCTCATGGCCGGCCTCAGGCCCGGCTGGGTCATGACCACCTAGCCTACGAGCTGAGTTTGCCACGCTCCATTTTCTTATTCTGCATTCCGGGGCTACCTGCCCCATTTGGTGGGAAGAAACTGCGAGCGGACAGAGGTGAGCCCACAGATACGTGACGAACATTCAGCAGGGACCAGCATGCACTCTCGACCTTGACTTGGTCTCTCAGCATGAAAGTTTTCAATGTCTCCGGACTCTATGGAGCTTTGGAGTGTGAGTGCATGCGTACGCGCGCACATGCGCGCGTGCGTTTGTGTGTGGGAGAGAAAGAGAGAGGGGGGCAGACTGACAAGTGAAGCACCTCATTTGGATGTGTCTAGAGTCTTGGAAGCCTGACTATCCTATGTTCTCCCACAAATGGATCTTGAGAGTGTGTTTGGAGGTTCTAACAGGGGAGCAGGGGAGCGGGAGCGTAGCTACTCGTATACCCTTGACTGAAGAATGGTCCGTCTCTATTCACGGAAGACCATCCTCTTTGACTGGCAAGCAGCTTTGGGAAGGATGTACATGGAGTGGTGAAGGACGAACGGAACACTCACCTAGCCAATCAGATCAGCTGAATCATCCCTGGCGATCAATGGGGTGACAGATGTTGCAGTCAGATCACCCTCATATCCATGAGTGTGAGTGTGTGTGTGTGTGTGTGTGTGTACAATTTAATTGCCTATTCTTAATGGATTTACTTCCTACAGAATAAAACACGATAGCATTGTAGCAGTGTTCTCCTGTTGTTCATCGATTTGCTCGAGCGGGCCCAGTAACATCTCCATTTTGAGACTTCTTGTTACTGTGTTTGGCATATTGAATACATCATGGGTAGCTTGCCAGGCTTTGCCATGCGGGCAAGATACTCCGGTAGATTGTCGGGTTCTCCAGGAGGGGCGGAGGAATCAAACCCGGCTTGGCCGGGCTAGCTGAGTGTAAGGCAAATGCTCTACCGCTGTGCTATTGCTCCAGCCCAAAGGATGAGTAGTTTTGGTTTTTGTTTGTTTGTTTTGGCTTTCTGGGTCACACCCAGTGATGCTCAGGGGTTACTCCTGGCTCTGCACTCAGGAATTACGCCTAGCGGTGCTCAGGGGACCATATGGGATCCTGGGAATTGAACCCGGGTCAGCTGTGTGCAAGGCAAATGCCCTACCCACTGTGCTATTGTTCCAGCCCCAGGATGAGTAGCTGATGGGATTTTTCAACCCAGAATGTGGGCACTCGACACGGCTTGCTACCCCGGCGGGGGTCCTGTCCTACTCTAGCTCTGCTCCATCTCCTGGAAGCATCTGTCCTAGAGAAAGACCTGTCACAGAGATGTTTGTCCAGGTCCACTGAGGTCCTTGGAAATGTAAGAGTCGAGCTCGGTTAGATTACGACAATGCAGCATCTGACCAAAGAGTGTTGCTCTTCTGCTTCCTGATTACTGGCTCTCAGCAATAAATAGATAAATAAAATAAACAAAACACGATACTAAGAAAAAAAATATTTTGGGAGTTACCTAGAAGCCAGATTCACAAGTTACTGAAAGAAGCAAGAATCTAATTACTTCTTACTCTGAAGTTTGCCAAGCTATCCCATAAGAGAGAAACGAAAAAGAGAACTAAGCTCAGGCACCGGCGTATCTATGGTTCAATGACAGTCCGACCTGCAGGAAAGATGAATCCGCATCCTCTTCATGATTACAAAATCAGCAGCTGAAAGCATCGCGCACAAATCTTTCAAGACCTCCATAAGCTTGAACTGTGATATCTAAGTTCTAAATCCAGTTATGGTGCAATTCAGTTCTGATACTCCTCGACACCCCCTTCGGAGAAAACAATCTGAGGACGCAGATGGCTGCGCTTTCTCTTCCCCCCTCACAGTTTCCCCTCACGGGACCTGCCGCTGTCAGAGAAGTGAAAGGCCGAGAGCGGGCCGGGGAGCAGCACGGGGAGGACTGATGCCAGGGCAGAAGAACGGGGCTACTGTGGGGTCAGGGCTTCAGCCTCTGTCACTCAAGTTGGGGTGACTTGGAATGTGCCAGGAGTCTCAAGGAAGCAGACCTGTTCCAACACCAGACGGCAGGTGATGGCGGAAGTGCATGCCCGGATATGCCCCAGGCACCCTCCCTCCTGGATCCCTCTAAGAGGGTCATCCCCCTCCCGGTGACAGTCCCGGGGAGGCTCCACTTTCCCTCTGCGGTGGAGGACTCAGCACCACACCGCCCAGCTCACGCTGAGAGCCCGCGGCCTTACCTCTGGAGGAGCGACCCGAAGAGGAAGTGAAGAGACTTGTGCATGTTCTCCGTGCAAAGCCACTGCCACTGCTCCATCAGCAGCAGGAGCAGCAGGTCCAGCGCTGTGTCTGCCAAGGCCGTGTCCGACCCTGGGACAGAGAAGCACCGTGAGCAAGGCAGGCGGGTCCTCGCCACCTTCCACCCGCAGATCAAGCGAGCGAAATCACGGCTCAAAGGGTCCTGACAGCCGCTTGGTTCCTTTGCGAGTCTTTTGGTGTCTGTGCCTGACTTAGTAAATGTTTCTCTTTGGGAAATGATCTGCACACCTAGTTTCCTTTTTCTTTTTCCTGTTCCTGCAGGGAGCTGACAACACTGTTCCCAGAGAAAGCTGAACCAGTGGCCCTGTCCCACTCCACAGCCTCCATGGGTCCCTGGAAATGTCTGTGTGTCTTGTGGATCCTGGGCAGCAGCTTGGGTTCTATTGTAACATGAAAAGGTGACTTTGAAAGCACCTTTGGTCCCCAGAGTTTTTGGGCTGGGACCCTTGAGGCTTCAGCTCAATTCGGGGGCTATGGGGTTCTAAGAAGAGCGCCACCTTCTGGTCAAAGGTGTGCTGGGCCCCAGCTCTTCCTAGTGGGAATTCTGGAAGGGAGGGGAGGAAGAGAGGAAGGAAGAGAGGGGAAGGGGGGAGGGGGAAGGGGGGAGAAGGGGGTGGGCAACACCACCCAGGCAGAGGTTTTGACACAGAGTGCTGTATGGATGGAGTGGTCTCGTCACCGACCCCTGCTGGCCCTATGCTTGTGACTGAGATCATGGTCAATTCTCACACTTAAGTGTGAGTCCAGAGTCAGTGCAGATCCCAGGGCCCACCCTGCAGGCTCCTCTCCCTCAGGGACCCTTACAACCTGACACATCTGAGGGAACGGACCCTTCCTTTCCTCTCAGTCCCATCCAACATGTATTTCCTTTTCCTCATATTGTATGTCAAGGCCTCCTGGCAGTGGTGGGATGTTTGCTTTCTAGTCACCTCACCATGGTCGCCCATGTCATCAATTGTTTACGGGAATATGACACACAATAAGGGATTTTGGAAGAGAGAGGTGATAGTCACATGGCTTTTATTCCTGTAGGTTGTTACAGTTATTCTATTTGATTACTCATGGTAGTTGCTAATGTCTCCCTGTCTCTACTCTATGAATTACCTCCATCACAGCTCTGCATGGAGAGGAAAAGCACCATCGAGACTCAGCGCCATTCAGTTCTACAGCCGCACCAGGGTTCTTGGAACAGGGAGAGGGGATCTGGGTGGACAGCCTCAGTCTGGCCTTCACTTGTGCTGCCCCCCTGTGGCAGCAATGAGACAGCACAGGGACAAGAGAGTCCTCTGGGGAGAGCCGACTCTCCTGTGACCAGGCCAGAAGGGCTCAGGCACAAGCTGTCCTTCTGAGTCATGTTATTCAAAATGTCCAGGCTTGATCTGGCCACAGCTAGGTGTGGGATGTGTAACTGCATCCAGTCCTCTGACTCCTCCACTGTCTTATGCTTTCATCTCTGTAACCAGTAAGATACTGTGGTGTGAAGAGTTGGGGCTGGCCACATGCCCCAGTTTACACTCAAAGCCATTAGGCAAAGGTCAAGTGGTCGACTCCGGGCAAGTGAGAAACCACAGGGAAACTGGCCTTGTCGCCTTTCTTTCCAAAACCAAGATGTGCAAAATCTGTCATGAGGGCCTCTTCCCTTTGTGGTAGAACCAAAGGGGTTGTTCTCATAACCATTCTCCCTGTAAGGTCCAAACTCAGCAGCAACCTGGTGGATTCCTCCCTCCGGAGAGAACACACACCTGGATGGGTGTGTAGAGAGGAAGCAAGGCCTCCCCTGCCCTCCTCTGGTTCTCCCTGGCAGCGGGCTGCAGCCCTGCGCCTTGGGGGTTATCTCTGCATCCCAGGCCCACACAGTCCCACAGGCACTGGCAGTGAGCGCTTCACTAACAGAAGGGAAAATAAAGGGACAAGTCTCAGCAGTCCCAAGTCCCTGGCGTGTCCTGGTCCCCTTCTCTCGGGGAGCAGAGAGCTTGTACCTTACCTGGTGTGCTGGGGCTGAGGTCCGCATCGGGGAGGGAGCTGTCCACACAGTCTCTGAGGCGCTGCTCAGGGTCTTGGCCACAGGTATCTGCAGGCTGTACTTTCAGCAGCTTCATTTGCTTCTCGATGAAGGACTGCACCCCGGCCATGGGCAGGACCTCGGACTCCTGCAGAAAGGGCCAATAGGGCGACAGTGAGAAGCAGAGAGGCCGGACAGCTCCTGGCGGAACGGTACACATGTAACTAAGTGACGGTGATGCAAACAATGCCTTTGGATTCTCATCTGCCACACACACAGGCAGGTCACCTGTTTGCCATCCAGGAACTAACATCAGAGGTCGTGGGGCTACACCAAACTGGGAGAAATAGGAAACTGCTCAGAGAAAAGCTTTGCAGAATTGAATTTGAACTGTTAGTTCCGCCCTCTAACTGGGCCCGTAAGTCCTTCGGGACTCTGGAGAAGGTCTCTATAGCCGACCCGCTTCAGGATCCACATCCCAGCCCTCAGCTCCAAGACTCTCAGGGCCGTCTTACCATGCCGTCTTCCGGGAGACCATAGAAAATCCTCTCATGTGCTTCTGAGAGGTTCAGTGCTGGGGACACTTTCATGGAAGTGAACCTCAGTTTGGACCTGGAGCAGAAACAAAGGGTGGAGATAGAAGGTAATTCGGCATCCCGGTCTTCAGAGAAAGGGCCGGCGAGTCTCTATCCCCGCAAACCAGAAGAGCCGTCCTCGTCTGCAGGAGCCAGGGGAACTGTCCAGGAGATTTGCTCTGACTCCCCCAGCAACCTAGGCTCTGGCGACTCTTAATAATCGGCGCAATTCCTGATGCTGCGATGGGGCTTTCTCTCATGGGCATCACAACCATTCTGTCACTGGCGCCTCCATGGGCAAGAGGACAGCTGGGCACAAACCAGGCGCTCGCGCACATCTGAAGAACAAAAGGCCCAGGGGCACAGTCTGGGATTTCCTGCTGCTACGGCTGGGCACCTAATGCCTGCCCATTTCTCACACTCCTGTTACAAATAAATCAAGAAAGGGACTGCAAGTGGCAACCCCATTGATTCAAGTGTTAGGGCTCAGGGACCTCCTTCAGCACACGGGCCAGGGTGAAAAACAGGCTAAGACTCGTGAGTTTGTTAATGCTGGTCCGGCAGACATAAACAGAAGAAACGATCAGACAGGCCTCACGCAATCAACTCCGCCTCTCTCCTCAACACATTCTCTCTTCACAATAGCCAGATAGAGATGAAGTTTTGAGAGGCCTGTGGGGCGCCCTCCACCTACACAGCTGGCTCTCAGTGCTGCCAGGGGATACCCAGGACCCCAGTAAAGGAGAAAGGGGACACTTGGACTGGCCTCAGTGTCCTTTCTAGCCACTTCCTAGTTCCTGACGGTATTCGCAATCTCTGAGTCACAATTAACAGCGAGGATGGCAAAGACAATCGATCAAAAGGCTTAGCTTTTAAGGCTTACGGGAAAAAAACAGCTATCATTTTTCCAGGAAAACAGAAAACAAGAATGTCCGTATTCCATAGTTCCCCTTTGAGTCAAATTCCCGGGTGCCCTTGGCAAAAGCAAACACCCCGCAGGGCTGCCTGGAAGCGCAGGCCCCTAGGATGATGTTGGGCCTGGGGTGTGCCTGCAAGTGCAGTGGCCTTGGGTTGAGGCCTGAGATCGGCCTGAGAGGCAGGAGGGCCCCAGGCCACTGCGGGCTGCTCACTTGCCAGCCTTCTTGCCTTCAGTCTGGGGCTTGCCGTCTGTCTCGGCCTCACTCAGTTCTTCAGTGGGGCTCTGGGGCTCAGAGCGAGGGAACGCTGTCTTCAAGGTGTCCACGATAGCACTCACCACCATCTGCAAAGGTTAGGGGTGTAAGGTCACACACCAGCAATGAACAGATGTCTCAGGGTCCTGAGAAATGCACAGCCAACAAAATGAGACCAGGGCTGTCTCAACCGTTTTCCACCCATGACCCCTTTTTGCCCAGTAAATTTATACATGATCCTAGGTATATAAAATAGGTATACAATCTGAATATTTACTGATAATCAGTCAAATTTATTTGAAAACAACACGTCTGCAACCTCCTCAGTCACTTGATCCCACGTGGGCCTCATCCCTCATGGGTGTCAGACAGCAACTAGGGTCTTGGTGGCACTTTTGTTTTTGGGTGGCCAGGAAATTTCCTTTCTCAGAGTCTCATCAAACGATGCCAAGGGAAAAGAGCCCCAACAAACAGCTATGTACAAAAGAGCCTGGCTGTGGAATACTTCTTCACTGCCACATTCTCTTTTTATAGGAAAGAAGCGTTTGACTATACAAACTGATGATACTTTCAGCAAGGGTTAAGAAGAGATAGGGGCAGAAATATATGGAGAAAAAGAAGCACGAGGATGGGATGGTTCTCAGTAACAGAGATATGGTCCCAGATAGTGCAAGCATATGACAGAAATGTGCTCAGTGATTTCCAGTTGAATCCAACAATATCTGATAGTTGCCAGGAAGCCCTGAAGCTAGGACTGTGTGTGTGTGTGTGTGTGTGTGTATGTGTGTGCGCGCGCACTTATGTCTGTCTGTATCTCCCTCACCAGCTGACAGGAGCTGTGGAACCCTTTGGCAGGATTCAGGAACTCTCCTGAGATCTGGCTCCTCCCCAGCCAACAAGGCAGTATTTTCCAGTCCTAGCAGACACATGGCATTGTGGGACACATGTAAACCTGACTCCTGCCCTAGAGATGCTCAAATTAGTTGGTAGTCACTGTCTAGAAGCTCTGGTGTACTACAGAGATTTCTTTCCCCTACTCTTTTCAAAGGTCCTGAGGCACCCTCGGAAGAAGGAAACGTTCTCTCCAACACCATTCTCTAGTCAAGAAGCACAGCAGTGTAAATCCACTTGAGTCTTCTGAGCTGCTCCCCCTGGGAACGACCATCACCTCCAGGGGACCTTCCTGCCTCCACCTATCTCTGCAGGTACAGATAAGCCTTAGATCTCACCATTAGAGAAACAATGGCCTGAAATCACCAGGAGCCATGTAAGGATGCCCAGTGTCAGCCGATGATTTCCAGTCTACGAGCTACTCAAGGGATTGGACAAGTTGGTGACCCAACTGAACAATATGCTGGGAACATCCGGTCCATGTTCCCGACTCCTGTGCAGCCTCTCCCCAACCAATCATGGGAAGAAGGAAGCCGAGCACGTGGCCCTCCATACCTTGTCTATTCTGGGCTTCTTGACGAAGGCGATGCGGGCATCAGTGTTCAGCGCCAGGAACTCTTGCACCTCCTCACTATTAGCGAGCTCAGGGATGGCACAGAGTTGCTGCAAAAGACCCGAAGGAAACTCCTAAGAGAAACGCCCGGGTTCAGCGTGCTCCTCCTTGGTGTGGGTGGAGGCGGATAGGAGAGAGATGAGCCCATGCAAAAGGATGCTGACCTTTAGAAATGATTCCAGGAGGCTCTTCCGGGCTTCAACTTTGTCACTATCCATGTTCCCAAACGGCAGATCTGGGAAGAGCTTTTTGGGGCCCTTTACATCTTAAACAAGCAAACAAACAAACAAACCCAGCTCATTCATTTAATACTAGCCAAGAATCTCATTTAAAAACCGTAATATATACAGAAAAGAGTACTGCTGCTTATATTTCCCTGGACTTTTTCATTTTACACAAGCTGTTCACCTTAATAATAATATCAAGGCCTCAGAGGCCGTATACTACACAGTAATGATGGATGCAGGCTCTGAAATCCTAGCTTCACTGACCAAACAATGACCTTTGAAAGGCTGCTTAACCTTTCCCTGACTTTGTTTCTTTGTAATGGGGACAATGACAGGTACCCATCCCAAAAGCTCTGTAGGGAATCAAATGACCACTATGTAGGAAGTACTTAGAAGAGGAAGTGGCATGCATTTTCATGCTTGGCTCAGAATTCATTCTTGTTATTAACAAAATGTGTAGACGGGGCCAGAGCGATAGTACAGTGGGGAGGGTGTTTGCCTTCCCCATGGCCAACCTGGGTTCAATCCCCGGCATTCACATGGTCCCCTAAGCACCACCAGGAGTAATTCCTGAGTACAGAGCCAGTAGTAACCCCTGAGTATCACCATGATCAAAAAAAAAAAAAAAAGAAAGGAAAGAAAAAGAAAATGTGTAATTAAGATCCACAGTTTCTTCCAAACTTATCAAAAACGTTGACTGGGAAAATCAGCATTCTACACAGCAAAGCCTCTGCAAGTAGCTTCCTTTCAGAGTTCAATTTTGTTACTTTTTTTTTACTGTTCCTGTACCTTAAGGGTATCAAGCCCAGCAGCTAAAGGGCAGGCAGCGGGGATTTCATATCATATTTTAATACTTAAAAGCCCTTGCTGATAAGTCTGGTATGATTCATTTAGCTCCTCCCACTGCATAGGAAGAAGCTTCTTCTGAAGTTGAAGTTAGATGAAGGTTTGGAACAAAGCATTTAGGGCCACCAGACTTTTGGGGGGGAGGGTCAGGGAACTATGGGCACTGCTGCCTGGCTCGATGATCCCCCCACAGGGAAGCACCCCAGTGGGGGCACAGGAGCCTGTCTTCACAGCAGCTGGCCGCCACCCAGCCTCCCAAGACAGAGCAGAGTGGCCTGAAGGGCCAAGGGAGTGTGCAGGGTAAAAGCTGACTTTTGAGGAACTTGCGGAGCTCCGATCTCTCCTCCAGGCGGGTCTGCAGGTTCAGGAACTCACGGTAGCGGCGATTCACCGTGTGGTAGGCCAGCTGCTGCAGGCCACTGCTGCTCTCTCCCTCCAGGGCCGTCTCATACTGGGGAGAGAACACACGTGTCTCAGAAGCACAGGGCCAAGGCTGCAAGGCCCTGAACCTGGCAAGGCTGACAGCTGGTCCCAGTGACCACCAATAAATGCCAACTCCAAGAGAGACTGGCGATCGGAAGGAGATGCATTCCTCAACTCAGTGGCGGGGGAAGCGAGAAATGAGCTTTTCTGCTCTGCACTGCTTCCACCTCAAAGTTCACGGGCACATCCAGACTTCTGGAAAGAGCCACATCGCTGTTTTCCAAATCGCAGAGTATGTAAAACAAAGCACGACACTTAACAAGACGCTCTGGTCCCTGCGTTCATGGAGATGGATGTGTTAAGGGGGTCATCATGTTGGAGTTTTAGTCCACAAGTGACAGTATCAGCCAAAGAACAACAATAAAATCCTGTTTGGGGGCCGGAGCCACAGTACAGAGGGTAGGGTGTTTGCCTTGCACACGGTCAACCCAAGTTTGATCCCCAGCAGCCCATAAAGTCCCCGGAGCACCAACAGGAGTCATTTCTTAGTGCGAAGCCAGGACTAACCCCCGAGTATCGCTGTGTGTGGTGCCACTCCCTGCTACCCATAAGGCAGAGGTTCCCAAACTTATTAACCTACTCAAAAATCATCTTCATCATCATCATCATCAGTCAGTGCCCCTACTCCAGGAAACCTACCTCCTTTAAGAGAACACAAGAGAAGTGACAACACCCCCCCCTCATTCCAGTGTCCCGTAGGGGGCAGTACTGTCCACTTTGGGAACCACTATTCTAAGGAATTAGGGTTGTGCTCCCAGTGTGGAGGGCCAGTCTGTGGACCAAGATAACTGCCCTATACCTTCACCCAAAGCAAACGCCCTGAACAGTACAGAAGCTACAACAAAGCACAGACAGTCTCTGATACTGGGACTTGGTGTAAGCACCATTACGTGCTTTACCTGGGAACAGGTACAGTTGGCTGAGGTCTCAGTGTATGTAAGTGATCAAAGGAACAATCTCATTCGTGTGACTGAGGCTGGTATTTTAATCATTACTAGTGTTATCAACATAGTTAGATGGCAGAATTTAGAGGCTACTTCTGGATTTGTACGTGAAGTCACTCCCAGAAATGCTCAGGGGATCAGTGCTCAGGGGTCAAACTCAGGGTCCTGCATACAAAGTATGTGCTTATTCCACTGGGCTATCCCTCTGGCTCAAAGTTGGTATTTTAAGAGAGAAGTACTCATTACATATGACATGGGGAAAATAGTCTCTGGGATCAACAGGAAGAGACAGAGATGGAGCTCAGGGTAGGGCCCTCAAACTTAGAGCACTTATTCTGTTTCGTTAGGGGCATTATTTCACCCTAGATGTGTTCACCTACATTGCAGAAACTTAGAATTGTTTGACTATCAGAAAGCATACTGAGATACAATTAAGGTCCTTGTTATATCTCCATCTTCCCGTAGGCAGGGGTCACACCCACCAACTGGCCCCCTGGCGCCATGTAATCCCATCAACGGCCAAGACCCAGAGACAATAAAACCCAGCTCCTGGAAGCGCCCGGCCGCATTTGCGGCCGCACGACATCTTATTATCTCATTCCTACTTTGGACAACCTGGCAGGCTACTGAATGTAACCTGCCCACACGGCAGAGTCTGGCAAACTCCCCATGGCGTACCCAATATGCCAAATACCAGTAACAATGATGGTCTCGTTCTCCTTACCCTGAAAGAGCCTTGAATGTGGCACTTTTTAAAATATCTCAGGGCTAGGGCGAAGGAGACTTTACTGGGGCCTGCTCGAGGCAATCGACGAACAACAGGATGATCATGATCTCCATACAAAAATTTTAAGCCCGTTTTTTTCAAACGACACCCAAGTGGCTATAACCTTTTGTTGCTCATTTTTCACTTCATCCTTTTCTTATGCTCACTTGCAACAAGTAGCAGGAGGAAATTAAAAAAAGAATAATGGGAGTAAGACGATGAAACTGCATGTTTTGTCCCGCTCACTTATTTTGGCTCAGAAACAAAACCTAGGGCAAGGGAGATAGTAGAGGGGTTAAAGCACGGGCCTTGCATCCCTCCCGTTTTATGATGGTCCTCTGAGCTAGGAGTGGAAGGCCCTGAGCACCACTAGGTATGGTTACCCAGCTCCCAAGTAGGAAAAACTCATTTCAATCTCAGGACAGTTGTAAATGAAGAGAAAGGAAGGAACTTTCTTTCCTTTCCCAGAGGGGCATCTTTTCTCCTCATTTTCCAGAATTTTTTTTTTCTTTTTGGGTCACACCCGGTGATGCACAGGAGTTACTCCTGGTTCATGCACTCAGGAATTATTCCTGGCAGTGCTCGGGGGACCATATGGGATGCTGGGAATTGAACCTAGGTCAGCTGCGTGCAAGGCAAACGCCCTTCCCTCTGTGCTATTGCTCCAGCCCCTCGTTTTCCAGAATTTTAAGGTCCTCTTTCACAAGAGAGAAGCACTCATTATATATCACAAGGAAGATATATATGCCTAGAAAAATCAGGCAAAGTGGTACTAAAGTTATACTCGACCTTCAAAACTAAGACTGAGTTCAAACAACCAGACATGGAGACTTGAAACATTTCTATCACAATACTTGTGTGAGTGTGTTTCTGGCTATTCCCAGTCTGACTGTCCAGAATCCTAGCCCCATGAGGCAGCTGTCCAGAGCAGGTCAGGGAAGGCTTACTCCCACCTATTAAGGTGGGGTGGGCCTGGAGGCAGCACCCACATGCTCCGTGGTAGGTGCTCAAGGTGGGAACAGCTCAAGGAAGCAGCAAGTCAAAGCCAAAGTAGAGTCAGTAGGGAAATTCCCCTTCCACATCTCTTCATCCTTCTCCTCCTTCACACTATTTTCTTCTATGTTTTGTTTTGGGAGGGCAAGTTACAAACTTTCAAATATCTCAGTAGGCATCAAGAGCCACCCCGTGAGAGATGGAGGCATTCCAAGCACAGACATGAGCATGACTTGGCAGAGAGACGCCACAAAGGAGGTCGGCTAGCAGATGGCTGGTTCCTGAGAGTACCAGTTTCCTCAAGCTCAGTTCAGGACAGGTTGCCCCCAAGCCCCCTGGCGGGTTGCTTTTTAAAATAACACTGCCCCAGAATCTGCTCCTGGAAATTCTTGATCAGAATCTCTCCAAGTCTGGATATTTGAAAGGAGTGAAGAGATTCTGAGTCAGTCAGGTCGGAGAACCACTGAAAAACATGACCCGCAGCTCCCTAACTGCCCTGACACTGCAGAAGTTTATGGATCTTGGGTTTCTGCTTCACTTCATCCTGCTCTCTGCAGGAGCTTCAATTCATTTGCATCCAGCCGCCTATCTGAATGAAGAAGCACAAGGGAGAGTCCCCTCTCTCCCTCAGAGCTGCTTTCCCGAGTCTGCCCTCCAATCTTACCTGTCACCCCCCCACCCATCCCAAAGGATGACCTTAGATGATCCAGTCCGGTTACCTTCACTGTGTAGAGGGTGTAGGGGTGGGAGCCGGTGCCGCTGTGCTCCCGGGCCGTGATGGTGCCTGTGATCCGAAGGTTCTGGATGACAACAGGGCCATCGGGGCTGCTCAGGGTCTCAAAGCTGAAGGCGGCTGTGCTCAGAGGCCCCACGGGCGAGGCGGGAAGCAGAACCGGAGGCAGACTAGGGTCCAGGGCGCCCAGATCATTGGGGGGAGCCCTCTCTAAGGACGGGGGCTGGGTGGGGCAGGGCGTTTCTGGGCTCATCAGCACTGCGGAAGGCGCGGGCCCTTCGTCCTGCTCCTCCTCCTTGTCAGCTGAATCCACCTGGATCTCAGGGCAGAAATTCAGCGTGGACATGAGGCCGGGGTCTGCTTCCACGTCTGCCCCCGGGCCCTCCTCAGCCTCGCCTCCGTCCGCTCCTTTGGAGTCCTCCCCGCCCGGGGCCTCCATAGTCCGGGGGCCCTCCAGGCCGCACAGGGCATCCTGGATTCTGTCGGACAGGAAGCTGCCAGGGGCCATGAGCATGAGCGTCTCTTTCCTGATGTCAGACAAGGACGACTCCAGCTCCAAGTCCTCGCACAAGAACAGGGGGCCTTGGATGCCCCGATCCAGGAAGTGGCACGTGCCAACGCCCGCCCGCCTCTCCTCCAGCAGCGGCCCAGCGTCTCCCTCCAGCTCGTCCGCTTCGTCCACCACCGGACAGGCCTCGGCCGGGGCCTGGCCCTCGCTGCAGCTCGGGGGCGTGGGGGCCGCGGCCGGGGCGGGGCCGCTGCCCCCCGGCGGGCCCTGCAGCTCGGTCTCCGGCGGCAGAGACGGGGCGGCCGGGGGCGGCTCGGCCTGGGGCTTGCTGCCGCCTTCCCCGGGCAGGGGCGGGGTCCCGGCCTTGGAGAAGACGCCCGCCAGGGCCAGGTGGATCCAGTCCGGGTCGGCCAGCTTGCCGACCAGGGGCAAGACGACGTTGCAGGCGACCAGCTCCACCACCACGTGGTGCCCCGCGGCGCCGGCCAGGAAGGGCCCGGGCGCGAGGCCCAGCAAGCGGCTGACGATGCCGCGGGCGTAGGCCACCTCGGCCCGGGGCTCCCGGACGGCGGGGTGCGGGGCCGACCCCCGGCAGTAGGCCTCCCAGAGCCGCGCGGGGTCGGCCGCGGGGCCGGGGGCGCCCAGCGAGGCCCTGGCGCGGATGTAGGCCTGCAGGTGGCAGCCGGAGAGCGTCAGCAGCCTCTGGGCCAGCCCGCGCCGGTCGGCCCGGGCCATGCGGCGCCGCAGCTCCCGGGCCAGGCCGCGCAAGGCCGCCCCCAGCTCCGCCTCGAAGACGCGCTCCCGGCTGATGGCGCCGTACCACGAGGACACGAAGTCGCGCAGGACCAGCCGGATGGTGCGCTCGACCTCCGCCTCCAGCTGCCGCTCGGCCTCGGGGTCGCGGGCGCAGGCGGCCGGGGCGCCCAGGCGCTCCAGGTGCAGGCGGCCCGACGCGGCGGCCAGGGGCCCGCCGAAGAGCCAGGCGCCCAGCGCGGCCGTGGCCGTGCACAGCAGGCCGAGCAGCCAGAGGCTGACCAGGCGGTGCAGGAGCAGCAGCCCGCCCAGCGCGACCGCCAGGCCCGCCAGCTTCGGGCTCCAGCAGGGCCCGCTCCCGCGGCTCCGCGGCGGGCCGGGCTCGGGCTGCATGCCTGCTGGCCGGGGTGGGCGGCGGCGGGGCGCCCGCGCCGCGACGGGGAAAAGCAGGCGCACGCCCACCCCCGCGCCCGCCCGCCCCCCGGCGCCGACGTGCTACGGCCGCTGCAAAGCACCCCGGGCCGCGCGGCGCGGCGCCTCACGGCGGCCCCCGGCTGCGGCCCTCGGGTCCCGCATCAAGTGGCCAAGTCGCCACTTGGCCGCCGCCGCCGCCGCCTCCGCGGGGGCCCCCGGCCTCCCGCGCGTCCGTTCCGCGGGTTTCCCAGCCGCTCTCGGCTCGGCGGCGGCGGCGCCGGCGGCTGCGCTCCTCGCTCAGCCCGGCTGGAGTCGGGGCTGCCGGCCCGCCGGCCGCCGGCGACTGCTTCCGGGTCGCGGTCGCGGAGCGAGGCATGCTGGGAGGACGGCCGCGCCCCGGAAGTGGTGATTAGCGGCTGGTGCCCGCCCAGCGGGGCTCCGTGGCTGAGCGCCTGCACTGCGCATGCTCAGTAAAGCCCTACCCCCCCCCTCATTCCCCCCCCCCCCCCCACCATGTCCCAGGTCCTAAAGTGGTTTCTCCCAGATGATCACCCAGACTTAGACGGCCAAGTCCTAGTATTACACAAACTTCTTTCACAGTTTGGGCAAGCTCGAAATAATATGTTTATTCAATTCATTCATAAAGAGCCTTGAATATGATCTCAGGGCTAGGATGAAGGAGACCTTACTGGGGCCTGCTCGAGGCCATCGATGATTGACAGGATGATTTGTGATTGTGATTGATTGTGAATTCATATCACTGTCTGTCACTGTCCTCCCGTTGTTCATCGATTTGCTCAACCGGGGCCCAGTAACATCACCATTGTGATAATTGTTACTGTGTTTGGCAGCAGGTAGAGCATTTGTCTTGTATGCGGCCAACCTGGCCGACCCAGGTTGGATTCCTCTGCCCCACTCAGAGAGCCTGGCAAGCTACCGAGAGTATCTCACCCGCACGGCAGAGCCTGGCAAGCTACCTGTGGGGTATTCGATATTTGATTCATAATGTTATTAATAAAGTAATCTCTTGGGGGCATTTCTTTCAAGGGCCTGATATCTTTGAAATGAGCCTCTCTCCACCTCTTGTCCCTATCACACAGTTTACCCTGCTTGTTCTCGGGAATTACAAGGCAGGAATAGATTCATTACAGAGAGATGGAGTTAGATTCCTTCCTTATATTTCATATTCTGTATGCTAAAATTCGTTTTGTGATTTAGGGACCTTTTGTTGGTGGAATTACAAAGGCAATCAAATAGATTGGCACATATGCTAATCAATCACAGAGAAGAATGATGGGGGTTCTCAAGAATAATTGGGAAAGCCACTGCTTGAATCGTGAATGGGTACTGAATATCAGAAGTCAGCAGGGTAAACAGTAAAATGCAAAGTCTTCAGGGCATTCAGGAGAACGAAAGATTACTGTGAGTCACAAAGGTTGTGGGGTGGGGCAGGTCTCAGAAAAGGCGGACTGCATAGTGAATCTTCAAGACAGAGTTTTTAGTCTTTAAGCTATTCTTCCTCCAAAACAATGATAAAGGAGGCAGAGGCAGAGAGGTATTTTTAAGCAATTCTCTGGGATATTTCACTTTGCGTTTTGTTGTTTCAGTTTTAGTAAATTTGCCTTCAGAATCAGAAGATAAATATGGGCAGGTTGTGCAGACTTCCGTTCTTTTGTGAAGACAGCTCCTTCTCCATCATGCTTCTTGGTCCTTGTCTGCAACCCCCTCCCGTCCCTCTCCCCTCCCCCCCACACGCTGTCTTCTGCCTTTGGGCACATGAAACACATGACTTGTGGTCCTCCTTATCTGGTGCTCTCTCTGCCATTCACCTTCCATTATCCTTGCATGAGTCTCCAGAGGTTTAGAGGAATTTTCAGGCAATTTCTAACCTCACTATGCCAGAAAGAATTATAATGCTGTGACTCTCTCTCATCTCTATTTCTACTGTATTTTGGAATACAAAGGGAGTATCACTTAAATGTGGACCACAGTTGTGCCTAGTTCATGCTGACCACCTTTTTTGTGGGGTGCTCCGAGGGTCACTGGGGATGCTCTGCGGGCCTGCCTGCTCAGAGCTGGGCCCCAGCAGTGCTTGAGGACTGGCTGAGCTGGAGGAAAGAGGCGGGGGGGGGGGGCATGCAGCACAGGCATTGAGCTAAGGGCCTCCACATTTTAAGTATTACCCACTCTCCGGTTGCCTTTAAAGTTTCCTTAAGTAGGAAAGTCAGACTGAAGGAGAAGAGGAGCAGGCTAAGGGCCAGAAAAGATGGTTCCAAAGGAAAGGTGGGTTCAAGTCCTTGCAGAACGCCCAGACAGAGGATGTGAGCACTTGGAGCACATCTGCATCTGCAGACCATCCCCATTGTGCATTTATTTGCATTGCCGTTTTGACCACACCCCTTGTGAGCTCTTGTGTTGCATTGTGGGAATTAAACCAGGATGACTGCCCTGCGCGTGTGCAAGGCTCTGAAAAAAAATCAGGCACCATCTTGAATCTCGGTCCTGATGCCACATTCTGGGCAGCCCACGCCTCCTCTCAGCAGCGAGTCTTCCATCAGTCTCAGCAGTTTTTCCCTTCTGGTGTGCATAAGGCCCTGTGCCTTGCCCATTTATCCTGGGGTGAAGACAAGGCCCTGGGGTGCAGCTCCAATGTCAATGATCAATCACAATCACGATCACGATCATCCTGTTGTTTGTCGATTACCTTGAGCAGGCCCCAGTAACGTCTCCATCGTCCTAGCCCTGAGATTTTAAAAAGTGCCACATTCAAGGCTCTTTCAGGGTTAGGAGAATGAGACCCACCATTGTTATTGGTATTTGGCATATTGGGTACACCACGGGGAGTTTGCCAGACTCTGCCGTGTGGGCAGGTTACATTCGGTAGCCTGCCAGGTTGTCCAAAGTAAGAATGAGATGATAAGATGTCACGCGACTGTGAATACAGCCATGCGCTTCCGGGAGCTGGATTTTTATAGTCTCTGGTTCTTGGCCGTTGATGGAATTACAGGGCGCCAGGGGGCCAGTTGGTGGGTGTGACCCTTGCCTACTGGAAGGTGGAGGATCTGGGTGGAGGATGCTCAGCCCCGATCCAAGCAGGCTTGGAGATCTCAGCCCTGGGACCTGCATGCCTTTGTTCCTCTGCTGGTACCTTCAAGCGTGTGGAGAGTGGTCTCAGCATGGTGGTGGCTGGTTCTAGAGGTCTTCGGCTGCCGGAGCTCAGTTCGGGGCGGGGAGGGAAACTCAACCCACCCCCCGTGCAAGGGGCCCTGGCGAGGACAGTCAGGTGCAGGGGCAGGAGACTCTGCACTGTTCTCTTCCAGGATCTGGGTTTTATAGTCTCTCCAGAGACTGTAAAAACCAGTGTCAACATTCAAGTCAAAGTTTGGGTTTGGATACACGTGTTCATGCAGAAACCAGACTCGGCTCCCTTTGTGCTCTAGTCGGGATGCGCCTTTCTGCAGAACATGAGCCCAGGGTGTAGGGGATCTTGCCTTTGATACCCCCCCCCCCCCGATGGCACCTTGGTTTGATGGCACCACCGCATGTAGTCTCGTGAACACAGACAGTAGTGAGCCCTGAGCACAAAGCCAGGAGTGATTCCTGAGCACTGCCAGGAGTGACCCCTGAGTTCAGAGCCAGGAGTGATCCCTGAGCACTGCCAGGAGTGACCCCTGAGTTCAGAGCCAGGAGTGATCCCTGAGCACTGCCAGGAGTGACCCCTGAGTTCAGAGCCAGGAGTGATCCCTGAGCACTGCCAGGAGTGACCCCTGAGTTCAGAGCCAGGGGTGGTCCCTGAGCACTGCCAGGAGTGACCCCTGAGCACAAAGCCAAGAGTGATTCCTGAGCACAGATACAGGAGCAAGCTCTGAGCACCCCCCACCAATAAAAATGAGAAGGTGGCCGGAAACAGCCTGATAGAAAGACATCCCAGGACCCTGCGGAAAGTTAGTTTCCTGTGGCCCATGAAGACTGGGGCAGTAAGAACCTGACCTTGTTGGCGGGCACGCTGCCACCCGCCCAGATGGTCCGGAGCCCCACGGTAGCCGGGACTGTCTTCCTGATTCTGCAGTGGGTTTGATGAAGCAGGACTCTCAGACCCACATGCCAGCACACTTGTCATTTTGACTGGTGTGAGCGGGGGTTTGGGGCCGCCTTGGTCTCCGAGCAGATTAATCACCCGAAGGAGGTGGGGCCAGAGCTGTAGCTGCTGGTGATAGTGAGTGTCTGGACTGGGGTCTGGGGGACAACTGTGTGTCTGTGCCATGCGACAGCTCCTCCTTCCCTTCCTGCTGGTTCTCGAAACACGGAAGACAAGAAAGGGTGGAGTGTGGGGTGAAGAGACAAAGGCACCGTGGTTGGCTTCCCTCCCTCACCCCCGCTGTTTCCTTACAGAAGAGCACCACTCAATTACAAATGTCATCAAACATCACCAGTGCTGTGCTAGTTGCAATGAAAGCAAGAACAAATGATAATAAGTTGGGAAACAAAAGAGACTTGGTCAACTGGGGGCCTGGGAGTGACATTAAAACCATCAATGCAAGTATGATGTGAAGTCAGAAGAGAAAAAGAAACTAACAGGTGTATGCTGGGAAGAACCAAAACAAAGAGGGGAATAGGAGGTTTTGCCATGAAAAAAAAAAGGTAGGAACAGTTGCAGGTGTGTGTGTGTGTGTGTGTGTGTGTGTGTGTGACACATGCTGGGGGCACCGGTGCCACACCATGATTTTTCTCAAAAACAGAAGTCCAGGCAGACAGAAATAGCACAGCAGGTAGGGTGCTTGCCTTGCATTCACCAGACCCAAATTTCATCCCTGGCATTTTATATAGTCCCATGAGCCATCCCTGAGCACAAGACCAGGAGTAAACTCTGAGAACTGCTGGGTATGGAATCCCCAGTGAACAAACATACAGACTAAAAACCACAAGTCTGGGAACTCACTGAAGTGAGGGGGAAGGTGATTTGAGAAGAGTGGGTTCTT